TTTATAGTGGTATAGTATCACTTGACCACTTTTCTCACACAAATTCCTAAGGGCGCATTTATCATCCATTTAGCCTTGCAACTAGTCAACCAGCAGCTAGTCCGTTCAACCCTAGCAACGAAAACCTGTGCTTCGAATTGAACAGTGCATGGTCCCTACACCACACGGGCCTAATGTATTTTCAATCTGGGTTTCCGGGTCATAGGAGCAACATGGTCAATTAGCTTAGCCCCTCATGCGTATGTGTCAAACTAGGCAGCCCCCATAAATGGTGGTGTCCTTTTGGTCTCCCTTTAAACCAGCCTCAAAAAGGGTAGCCTCAAGCCAAATGACACCCTCATATAACGTTTGCCATGCGCGACGTTAAGCGCCCCTCAAAGTGAGATGTGTATGAGCTGAAAATTGGCAGCCACCTGTACTTTGTTGCATTTGTGCCAAGGGATGTTAGGACTTCAACTTTTTGCCAATGGGTTTTCCGAATTAAGCCACTAAAAGTTAAACTTTTAGCGGGGGAGCAGAAAGCAACCGTGTAAGTTGATCAAATCCAGTCGCACATCCCTGTCCAAGCATATGGCTTTGTTCTGATTCATGACGTGCGCTGTCCCTAAAGGGTTTTCGCCGGCCTGGCGCACCACACATCCCGCACGCGTGTCGCGGTTCAGGCCTTTCTCCGGCGTGCGCTTGTTTTTTTTTTGGGATGGCTTGAAAGCTTTGCCCTCAGGTTGTCCCGTTGTTGATAGATACTACACTCCTGATTCCTTTCCTTCCAGGAAACCCTCATGAGGCTTTTTTGGTCAACATCACTCGTCACGCATCCCGTGGGCCACAAATAGCCGCAATCAAAGTCCGGGTAGTTGAACTGTAGTTAATCAGGTCAACCCCAGTCATGAATAGGTCGGCTGCCCGTTTGATTGTTTACACGGTCTGCAGCAGATGTTTATCGCGACTCACACGATGATTGGGAATTAGCCAAAGCAAATCCGATGTGACTGTATTGGCAACGGTCCCTAAAAGCGATCGAGGCTCAACCCACCCTGGGCTCCAACATATCGGAACTCATAGAAATACTCGGCCATCCGCACAAAGCCCGGGAATCCCAGTCATTGCTTTGACCATTCGCATGCAATGGACAGGTCGTGCCTGGATCCCCAACAAGGCGCGTTCGGGAGCTTCGGGCCGACTATATTTTTTGTTTTTTCCCGGTAGGGAAGCGCCTCGCGTTTGGACACATGACGCTTGACACATGACACACACGAGGGTCTTACAACCCGCTACCAAAACCGAAACTCTAAACCCGAAACCCCAACCACTGAACCACAACCCAAAGCCTATGCCTAGAAAACCCGGAGTGGATAATTTCCGATTTTGCCAGAACTACAGAAATGTCAGTCGTTTCCATCAAAAAGCGTCCCTTCCTTCAAACAACGCCATAGGAAACAGGGTTCGGCAAAAACGCCTTTGTATCACCCAACAACGCCGTTGTATTGGGGAAAACGCCTCCGCCAGTTTGTTGCATACATCCAAAATGACAAGATTCAGGAAAATCGCCTCAGGGCAAAAATATGATGATCTTCCCTGAAAAGGCAGTTTTCCGCGGAAAGGCAGATTTCCGCAGAAAGGCAGAAAGAAGCGGACTTAGGAAGACCCAGATACCCTAAATCCTAAACAGTGTTGACCCTACCCCAAACCCTAAATCTAAACCCTAGACCGTGTTGCCCCAAAACAAATACCTAAACGTCCAACCGTAGGATCCCAAACCCTAGAACACCTACACCCAAGACCCTAAACCAAACCTGAAACTGTGTCGACCCTACCGGAAACCTCAACCCTAAACCGTGACGGCCTGATCCTCAAGCCCACCAAAACCTCAACCCATCATCTTGACCATCACGCAGGCTCAACAGGCAATGTGAGCCGCAAATGGTAATCGAAATTGACCCCCTTCCCCACGGTTGTTTCTTGATAAAGTATTTGCCGCATAGCAACAGGCTAAGGGCCTGGTTGCTAAGGCGAACTGGGCGATTCCTGGCCGGGGTTGGGCCACCTGGCTTAAACAAATTTAAGCCACCATTGTTCAAGCCACCTCCTTTGATTTCATTTCAAAGAGGAGGGCGCTGTAAAAAAATAATAATGCCCAACCCTGCCAGCAATACCCTTAGACTCGTTCTTTTTAGATGTGATGTGTGCCAGCAGAAGTTCCATTTTCACGGGAACGAACCAAGTCGATTCATGACGTGGGAGTTGGGCCTTCGCGAGTTCCGTTGGGAGTGCAACTCGTGAGCGCACAAACCCGCGGCGAGTAGGCTCTACCTGGTTTCAGGTGGCTTACAGCAAAGGCAAAATATCATCCAAACCATGTCAGAACCCAATTCTTGCGTCTCAAAGTAGTTTTTTGTTTTTTCTCCCAAAACAATGGGTGGGTGTTTTCAATTTTCCTTTTGCCTTCCTCCGCAGGGCTTCCCCGCGGCTGGTGGAGCACAGCGCCGGCCTGCCGCGCATCGAGGCGCGAGCAAACGAGGGGAAAAGGGCAAAGGAGGCGAGGTCCCCCAGTAGACCTGGAGTCTCCTTCTGACCCTTAAAAGATGGGGTTGACCAAAATAAAGGGGTCATGGACCCATTTTCAAAGGGTCATGGGGAGGGGTCCCCTACTCAAATAAACTACAGAAAAAAGTTGGTGCCCTTATTCCAACCTCTCAGCTGGGGAATCTGCCAGAGGAAACTGGCTGGGCAACATTTGCCGGTGCACCCAACGAGACAAGCAAAATGAGCGAAATGGATGAGACCCAATCGCCTGCCAGGAAAGGAAAGGAGCCGCTTTTCTGTTTGCCAGGGCACACAAGAAGGCAGTTCGGCATGGAAGGGGGGGCCGTAAGCTTTGTGTACAAAAGGAATTACGGATGGCGGGGCCCCAAAACCGGTGGGTGCACTTTTGCGAATCGTGCAAATCGCAACAGCTGAAGGAGCAAAAAAGTATTTGGAGGGCCCTGGTCATGGCAGGATAATGTTTGTTGGATATGTTGTGAAAGCTGCAGCCAAGGCGCCTGGTCAAGATTCAAGGATTGGCAAAGTGGCCAGTTCTTTTTGTTCTTTAAACAAATCGAGGGGCGCATGGAATATGAGTACAAGTGTTGTGGAGTAAAGCTGCTGGCCACTACAAAGTCAGTTGGAAATCAACTACCTCACAGGTCAGCCAGGATCTTTTCTTGCTTTTGGGGCGTCTCTTGTGTTTTCCGGCCGGTGAGTCTTGATACATCTAGATTGCCAAGGACCTTCAACACGCTGGACCCCTTTTGGAGCACACGCCTCGGCGAAACGGGTGCCAGTTGTCTGCGCCGGACACTCCCATGCCCAGCGGCTTGCCCGGAGGTGCGACCCGGGGCCAGCCACCGGGCTCCGGGTGTCTGGGTATTTTTTTCCCCAAACAGTTTACTGTGAGGGGTTCTAAATTCATTTAAGGTGGCTCGCCTGTTGCCAAGCCCTAGCCTGGATGCCTGGCACAGCTCTCTGGGTGGACGGGTTCATTTGTCTCCCTGTGTCTCCCTTCATTTGTCTCCCGTTGTCTCCCCGCCTGGATGCCTGGCACGGCTCTCTGGGTGGACGCGTTCGTTTGTCTCCCTGGGTTCACTTGTCTCCCTTTGTCTCCCTTCATTTGTCTCCCGTTGTCTCCCAGCCTGGATGATCCAGTCTGGGTGGACGGGTTCATTTGTCTCCCTTTGTCATTTGTCTCCCGTTGTCTCCCAGCCTGGATGCCTGGCACGGCTCTCTGGGTGGACGGGTTCATTTGTCTCCCTTTGTCTCCCTTCATTTGTCTCCCAGCCTGGATGCCTGGCGCGGCTCGGGTTCATTTGTCTCCCTTTGTCTCCCTTCATTTGTCTCCCGTTGTCTCCCAGCCTGGATGCCTGGGTGGACAGATTCACTTGTCTCCCTTTGTCTCCCTTCATTTGTCGCCCGTTGTCTCCCAGCCTGGATCTGGCACGGCTCTCTGGGTGGACGGGTTCATGTGTCTCCCTTTGTCCCCTTCATTTGTCTCCCGTTCTCTCCCAGCCTGGATGCCTGGCACGGCTCTCTGGGTGGACGGGTTCATTTGTCTCCCTTTGTCTCCCTTGATTTCTCCCGTTGTCTCCCAGCTTGGGTGCCTGGCACGGCTCTGGGTGGACGGGTTCATTTGTCTCCCTTTGTCTCCCTTCATTTGTCTCCCGTTGTCTCCCAGCCTGGATGCCTGGCGCGGCTCTCTGGGTGGACGGGTTCATTTGTCTACCTTTGTCTCTCAGGATGTCTGGCACCCCTTTGTTTCCCTTCATTTGTCTCCCGTTGTCTCCCAGCCTGGATGCCTGGCACTGTTTTTTTGGTGGACAGATTCACTTTTCTCCCTTTGTCTCCCTTCATTTGGCTCCTGTTGTCTCCCAGCCTGGATGTCTGTCACGGCTCTCCAGGCGGACGGATTCACTTGTCTCCCTTGGTTCCCCTTCATTTGTCTCCCATCTCTGTGGGTGGACGGATTCATTTGTTTCCCTTTGTCTCCCTTTATTTGTCTCCCGTTGTCTCCCAGCCTGGATGCCTGGCACGGCTCTCTGGGTGGACGGATTCATTTGTCTCCCGTTGTCTCCCAGCCTGGATGTGTGGCACTCACGCTCCGCGGTTTCCTTCACTTCCCGCGGTTCTGTCCTTTTGGCGGGGTCTGGTTTGCCTTCGGCTTTGGCCCTGGCTTCGGTCATTCCTTGTCTTGTGGATGTTGGGGACAGGGTCCTCCTCTGTCTGCCCTTCATCTGGACTTCGATTTCGCTTGGGCTCGTGGTGGGTCGTCTTCCTTGTCTATCGTTGGCTACACCCTGTCTGTTCGTTCAGTGCCTCGTTATCAGTTGCGGTCCCGAGCTGACGATAGCGGTGCGCTGCGGTGCGCGGCTTCAGCTACGAGAAGGCTCTGTTAACCCCCCGGTGAAACAAACGTGAATCACGCTGGAGTTAAATCCTCTATCGATTCTTCGAGGATGTTCAACGAACCTTACGCTGAGATACCCAGTGGTGCTCTTGGCACCTGGGGTTGTCCCGGCTCTCCCGGCGGACGGGTTCATTTGTCTCCCTCTCCCTCCATTTGCCTGACGGATTCATTTGTCTCCCTTTGTCTCCCTTTATTTGGCCCCGGTTGTCTCCCAGCCTGGACGCCTGTCACGGCTCTCTGGGGTGGAGGGGTTCATTTGTCTCCCTTTGTCTCCCTTCATTTGTCTCCCGTTGTCTCCCAGCCTGGATGCCTGGCACGGCTCTCTGGGTGGACGGGTTCATTTGTCACCCTTTGTCTCCCTTCATTTGTCTCCCGTTGCCTCCCAGCCTGGATGCCTCATTTGTCGTTCATTTGTCTCCCTTTGTCTCCCTTCATTTGTCTGGCACGGCTCTCTGGGCTTTGTTTCCCTTCATTTGTCTCCCGTTGTCTCCCAGCCTGGATGTCTGGCACGGCTCTCCAGGCGGACAGATTCACTTGTCTCCCTTTGTCTCCCTTCATTTGTCTCCCGTTGTCTCCCAGCCTGGATGCCTGGCACGGCTCTTTGGGTGGACAGTTTCACTTGTCTCCCTTTGTCTCCCTTCATTTGGCTCCCCTTGTCTCCCAGCCTGGATGTCTGTCACGGCTCTCCAGGCGGACGGATTCACTTGTCTCCCTTGGTTCCCCTTCATTTGTCTCCCATCTCTGTGGGTGGACGGATTGATTTGTCTCCCTTTGTCTCCCTTTATTTGTCTCCCGTTGTCTCCCAGCCTGGATGCCTCTCTGGGTGGACGGATTCATTTGTCTCCCTTTGTCTCCCTTTGTTTGTCTCCCGTTGTCTCCCAGCCTGGATGCCCCTCTGGGTGGACGGATTCATTTGTCTCCCGTTGTCTCCCAGCCTGGATGTGTGGCACTCACGCTCCGCGGTTTCCTTCACTTCCCGCGGTTCTGTCCTTTTGGCGGGGTCTGGTTTGCCTTCGGCTTCGGCCCTGGCTTCGGTCATTCCTTGTCTTGTGGATGTTGGGGACAGGGTCCTCTGTCTGCCCTTCATCTGGACTTCGATTTTGCTTGGGCTCGTGGTGGGTCGTCTTCCTTGTCTATCGTTGGCTACACCCTGTCTGTTCGTTCAGTGCCTCGTTATCAGTTGCGGCCTCTCTCTGTCCTTGCTCGCATTTGGAGTCCCGAGCTGACGAGAGCGGTGCGCTGCGGTGCACGGCTTCAGCTACGAGAAGGCTCTGTTAACCCCCCGGTGAAACAAACGTGAATCACGCTGGAGTTAAATCGTCTATCGATTCTTTGATGATGTTCAACGAACCTACGCCGAGATACCCAGTGGTGCTCTTGGCACCTGGGGTTGTCCCGGCTCTCCCGGCGGACGGGTTCCTCTCCCTTCATTTGCCTGACAGATTCATTTGTCTCCCTTTGTCTCCCTTTATTTGGCCCCGGTTGTCTCCCAGCCTGGATGCCTGTCACGGCTCTCTGGGTGGACGGATTCGTTTGTCTCCCAGCTTGGATGTCTGGCACGGCTCTCCGGGCGGACGGGTTCATTTGTCTCCCTTTGTCTCCTTCTTGTTGTCCCCCAGCCTGGATGCCTGGCACGGCTCCCTGGTCATTCGCGGTGTATTCCGCGGGCACGCATGTGTGTTTGAGGCTCAGAAACGTGTGTTTGAGCGCGCGCGTGCGCTTGATCAAGCCACAGGCAGCATGCTGCGGATGCACGTACGAGTGCTTCAAGTAAATGATTGTGTGTTCTTGGTGTGTTCCAGCTGACCACATCGGCGCGTTCCAAGTGAACACGCACTTTTTGCATGTGACCACATGAGTGTGTTCCACGTCAGCACATGTTTGTGTTCCAGGTGAAAGCATGCGATTGTTCTGATAAAACACATATGCGATCCGGTCAAAATTCCTAGTAAGGGGGTTTAGTCTACAGAGGCCACCGTCGCAGTCACTTTGTGCAGTTTTTCATTCACACAAAGCGGAGTCCTGCAAATACCAATGGATTGCCCGCTCCCCACTGGAGGCGCTAGGATGGCGCTTGGTTTGCGCTAGGGTCTTCGGTGATCTTGGTTTCCAAGAGTTGGCGCGTGGGTTGCCGCGATGCACAGATGGTCGCCGTGACTCCAAAAAATACGGCGAACCCGCGCTAGCCGCGCGCTAGCAAGGCGCTAGCGCAGTGGTCAGCTGTGACCGGTTCCCAGTTACGCTTCAATCCAAATTTGCTTCCGCTCTCCTCGCATGCAATTATCATGGAGTGCGATTTGCTGGACAAAGGGGAGAAACAACGGCTGAGGCAAGACGGCAGGGATGCCTTGTACCGAGCATACGGAAGAATTGGGTTGCGTATTTCCCTGCGAAAGCAAATGCTTTACTGAATCGATACGAAGAGTTGCCACAATACGATCAAAGCACTTTAGCAATCGATACGAAAGACACTGTGCAGCTAAGCGAGAAAGAAGCGCAATGCGCCGGAAAGCTTTTGCTAAGCTGAAGCCTGTAACTGCTGGAGACGCATCCGATACTGATAGTACTAGCAGTAGTAGCAGCAGCAGCAGCAGCAGGCTCGCGCGCTAGCAATGTGTTGCAAAAAAGCTAGATTGATCGTACACAAACACTATTTTCCTACTTGGAGCACGCATATAAAACACAAGCGTTGTTCAAGGCAGAGCCCCATGGAATAGCGCCTCACAGCCGGCTTCGGGATTTTGATTTATGTGTCGCCCAGGCGTGCAGGAAATGTAAATTCCATGTGAACACATTTTTGTTGTCCAGGTGAACGCATGTGTGTTGCACATTTGTGTTGCACATGTTTCTCCACATGTGCACACACGTGTGTTCCATGTGTACACATATGTGTGTTACAAGTCAACACAGAAGTTTGTTCTGGTTAAACATGCTTGTGTGATCCAGGTCTGCACCAGTGTCGCACGTGAACACAAATGCCTGTTCCAAGTGAGCGCATATATGGGTTCCAGGTGAACACATATGTGTGTTGCAGGTGAACAGAAATGTGCTTTCCAGACATACACACATATGTGTTCCAGGTGTACGCATGTGTGTGTGTGCGTGTTCCGGGCGCGCATATATATATATATATATATATGTGTGTGTGTGTGTGTGTTCGCGTGTGCACATATGTGTGTTCCACATGTACACATATGTGCGTTCACGTGCGCACATATGCGTGTTGCACGTGTACACATATGTGTGTTCACGTGTACACACATGTGTGTTCTTATCAGACACGTGTATGTGTTCCAGGAGAACACATGTTTGTTATCAGATGAACACGTGCGTGTGTGTCTGCTCCGCGTGCACTTTTTTTGTATGTGTGTTCACGTGCACACATTGTGTGTTCACGCGTGCGCACATGTGCGTTCCAACTGGACACGTGTTTGTGTTCCAGGAGGACACATGTTTGTTATCAGATGAACACGTGTGTGTGTGTGTGTCTGCTCCGCATGCGCATGTGTGTGTGTTCATTTGCACACATATGTGTGTTCCACGTGCACACATTTGTGTGTTCACGTGTCCACACATGTGTGTTCCAATTGGACACGTGTTTGTGTTTCAGGTGAATACATGTTTGTTTTCAGATGAACGCACGTGTGTGTGTGTGTTCCGGGTGCGCATATATATGTGTGTGTGTTCACGTGTACACATATGTGTGTTCACGTGTACACACGTCTGTGTTCCAATTAGACACACGGTTGTGTTCCAGGAGAACACGTGTTTGTTATCAGATGAACACTCGTGTGTGTCTGTGTTTTCCGCGCGCGCATAAATGTGTGTGTTCACATGTGCAGTACACATGTACACACGTCTGTGTTCCAATTAGACACACGGTTGTGTTCCAGGAGAACACGTGTTTGTTATCAGATGAACACTCGTGTGTGTCTGTGTTTTCCGCGCGCGCATAAATGTGTGTGTTCACATGTGCAGTACACATGTGTGTGTTGCACGTGTGTACACATATGTGTGTTCACGTGTACACACATGTGTGTGCCAACGGACACGTGTTTGTGTTCCAGGTGAACACATGTTTGTTTTCAGATGAACACTCGTGTGTGTTTGTGTTCCGGGTGCGCGTATATATGTGTGTGTTCACGTGTACACATATGTGTGTTCACGTGTACACACGTCTGTGTTCCAATTAGACACACGGTTGTGTTCCAGGAGAACACATGTTTGTTATCAGATGAACACGTGCGTGTGTGTCTGCTCCGCGTGCACTTTTTTGTATGTGTGTTCACGGCACACATTGTGTGTTCGCGCGTGCACACATGTGCGTTCCAACTGGACACGTGTTTGTGTTCCAGGAGGACACATGTTTGTTATCAGATGAACGCGTGTGTGTGTGTGTGTGTCTGCTCCGCGTGCGCATGTATGTGTGTTCATTTGCACACATATGTGTGTTCCACATGTACACATTTGTGAGTTCATGTGTCCACACATGTTTGTTCCAATTGGACACGTGTTTGTGTTTCAGGTGAATACATGTTTGTTTTCAGATGAACGCACGTGTGTGTGTGTGTTCCGGGTGCGCATATATATATATATATATATATATATATATAAATATGTGTGTGTTCACGTGTACACATATGTGTGTTCACGTGTACACACGGTTGTGTTCCAATTAGACACACGGTTGTGTTCCAGGAGACCACGTGTTTGTTATCAGATGAACACTCTTGTGTGTCTGTGTTTTCCGCGCGCGCATAAATGTGTGTGTGTTCACATGTGCAGTACACATGTGTGTGTTCCACGTGTGCACATGTGTGTGTGTTCACGTGTGCGCATTTGCGTCTCCCACGTGTACACATATGTGTGTTCACGTGTACACACATGCGTGTTCCAATTGGACACGTGTTTGTGTTCCAGGAGAACACATGGTTGTTATCAGATGAGCACACGGGTGTGTGTTCCGGGTGCACATATATGTGAGTGTTCACGTGTGCACATATGCGTGTTCACGTGTGCACATATGTGTGTTCCACGTGTACGCACATGTGTGTTCCAATTGGACACGTGTTTGTGTTCCAGGTGAACAGATGTGTGTTTCACGTGAACACATTAGTATGTGCTAGATGAACTTTTTTTGGCATCTGACGACATATTTGCTCTCCAGGTGTGCACATGTATGCGCTCCAGAAAACGCATGATTGTTTTCGAGGTGCGCGCATGTGTGTGCGATTTAGGTGAGGTGAGCGCATGTTTGCTCACGTGTGCGCATATGTGTGTTCCACGCACACATGTGTGCTTTAATCGCACACGCGGTGTTCCAGGTGGACACATGTTTGTGTTCCAGTGGTATACATATGTGTGTCCCACGCGTACACACATGTGTGCTTTAATTGCGCGTCTTTGTGTTCCAGGTGAACGCATGTGTGTTCCACGTGTACACACATGTGTGTCTGAATTGGACACGCGTTTCATTGTGTTCCAAGTGAACACACATGTGTGTTCCACGTGAACGCATTAGCGTGTCGTAAGTGAACACATATGTGCGTTCCACGTTTGCACATGTGTGTGTGTGCTTTCCAAGAAGCACATGTTTGTTTTCCAGCTCAACACATTTATGCGTGTGCCGCAGGTGAATGTATACTGTTTCAGTCGTATACGTATGTGTGTTCCACGTGTACACACATGTGTGTCTGAATTGGACATGTGTGTTTGAACTGCCCATGTGACTGCGTGCTTGCGCGGCCACACTTGCGTTCACGCGCGCGCGCTCGCCCGCCATCGCGCGCGCTTGCCCAACCTCAGTTCTGGCGCGGTGCTGAAGCGCGAAGCATGCCAGCAACACACGTGCAGCAACGCAACGCGCGCCAGGTTCACGACTGCATCATTTTGATTCATCCGTGTTGAAGCGCAGAAAGCCACAAGCTGTTGGCATGTTTGTGCTCGCCCGTCAGCCCTCAACTGTTTGGGGTCTCTGCTGGTGTAATTTTTCCTGAGGGTACCATGGGTTGTGGGGGGTAGTTTATTGGGAAACCACCAGGAACAAGAGCTTTCTTCCATTTTTTCTTTTTTGGGGGTCGCTATATTTGACACATGGCCAACTCAGTTGCCCGGCGCCACATTCTCGTTTGTTTTGTTTTGCTTTTTGGGTGGGGGGGAGGAGCTTCCGTAGACAACGATCAAGCAACAACCAATAGGTGCCTTTGCTTCCCACTGGGCTTCCGAGTCCGTGATTCATGGGGTTTGGTACCCCTTAGTTGGTGGTTTGGACTGGTTCTTGTAGAGGGTAATTGGGAAAACACCCCTAACCGCCAACCCACCAACACAAACCTGGTGCATGTCCCGAATTCCCGAAGCCAGGGTTTAATTGGCTTTGCCTTCTGGCACCCAGCTGGCACCTCAAGGGAACACCCGAAAGTTGCTCTATTGCCCATTCATATTTTTGTCATAGGAAGCCCACAGGCAAAGCCCCCCTTTAGGATTCACATGGAGGGAAACAACCACATGGTATTTGTGGAGAGCCTGTTGTGAAGAAGGCCCGTCGCATGTCTGGATTGACAAGCTAGCATGATCACGCAATGGAGAAGGAGATTCAGCATGCCGCGCTTGGCGGCAACATGTTCGCTTGCTCCAATGCTGAAGCAATGCGAATGTTCAACTTTACCCTTGAGGTTGCTTACACAGAAGATGCTTCTTTGATACAACACGATGCATCAATTTCGAACAGCATTGTTTCTTGGCAGCTCTTTGTTGAGTCCTAGTTGTTCAGTTTCAAGGAATCTTTGTTGCGTTGAAATTTGATGGGACACCCTCTGGAACTTGTTGGCGCACGTAATGATGCGCACCACTGGGATAATTACTTGAGACCTATGTCAGTTCACATCAGACCCACAAAATGCAGGGTTACTCCGAGCCCCTTAGAAAAGGACCCTTGCCTCACTTCCTGAGTTCCTGAACTTCAGTCACTTTTTGCTGTTGGACCAATTTAGTGGTAAACAACAAGTTTGGAGACTTTTTCTGACCAAACCACTCGATCGGTGAGGACTTGACAAGTAGCCTCTGCCCTTGACAAGTTTGGGAACTTTTGTTTGAAGCATCAACCCGCAAAGCGATTTTCAGGGTTGCCATTCTTCCAGGCAGCCAGCAGCCCAGCGCACGATCCGAGGCCTGGGGTGATGACGGTCGGGGGGTGAAGGTGAAGATTCTTCACCTGGTGTTTTTTGTTTTTGGAGGAGGGGGCTTCACATTGAAGTAAAGATAAGTTTTACAACAAAGTGGCGTCCTTGTGTTTGGACTTGCTTTCCACTTTGGAGGAGCTTTCCCTTAAAGATCCCTCCGGAAGGGTTTCGGGGGTGTCTGTTATAGGGATGAAACAACAACTGGAAATCAAAACAATCATGGCTGAATGTCCTTTTACCTTCGCACATCAGATTTATGTCACTTGCTAGATGATCTTCCAGCAAACTAGGATGATAGAGCTCATCTGGGGCGTCTCCATCGTCGGCATGCTTGGCTCGAAGCAAGGGTCCAGCGCAAGCTATTTGTCCCTCAAAACTCCGAGTTGTTTGTAGCGATTATCCTCCGCGAGTGTACGGAAACTCCTTTTCCATGGTCCTCGGATGCTGGACATGATCGGCCCTTTGCCAGGGCTCGTATCAGCAACTGAGAGCATCCCCGCGGCCATGGAAAAAACAATACGAGGGATCTCTCAAATCGGGGTCCGCTACAATGGTGGGTGTCCTTTCTCAGCTCCGAAGCGGAAGTCGTGTCAGGAAGAAGAGCCCAGCGTTTGCGTGCGAGTGAAACGAGCGACCCATGGCTGTGGGTCAAAAAAAATACCAAAATGGCAGCTTGGTAAATGGAAACAAAGACTAAAACCTGCGTAACCCCAGCTGTTTAATTTTGGGCCACACCCATGTAAGTCGGTTGGCCACAAGGTGCCCCAAGCTATGGTCTAGCACTCAAGATCCCATGGGTACAGGGCACCCACCTTTGTCACCCGAGTAGCATCCTCTTCCGGAGCCCTCGAGTAGTTTTAGGTGGAATTCTCTACCCAGATAGTGGAGAACTCACATGGCCTAAGCCGTTCCACTTGTAAAAGCTGTCATCAACATGCGGGAGTGTCTAAGAATAGGGGCCCCTTTGGCACCCTGATGTTTTGTCAGTCTGTTAGTGTGTCTGTCAGTCAGTCTGTCAGTGTGTCTGTCAGTCAGTCTGTCAGTCAGTCCGTCCGTTTGTCTATCTATATCTATTTGTCTGCTTGTTTCTTTGTTTGTTTGCGATGCCTTTCAAGGTGTGGCTTGGTTTATTTCATCAGTCGCGACAGCGACCTGACGGGCGGGGTCATGTTTCGAAGGGACCAGTGTGTGTGTGTGTGTGTGTGTTTTGTTTCTTTCTTCTTGTTTTCTTTTTTTCCGGTTTGTTCCTCGCCCCGAACGGGGGGGTTTGCTTATATTGCCCTGTCAGCGTGATACATCAAACTAAAGTCATCGTCATCTTTCCTTTGGTGGGATGTTGGCAAATGGGACCTATCAGTGCCCCTACCCCGTTCGTGCTTGCCATTTGGATGGTTTTCAATTGCCAGCTTGGAAAGGGTTCATACTAATGAGGGTCTTCCTGCTTGGGATCCTTTTCTGCAGCTTGCCATTTTACTGCCCAGGAGCACGGCACGCGCACGCTGGCTGGAGGCCCCAGGAAGGCAAAGTAACGAGCGTGCCACTTTCGAGCAGACACACGCGCCATGGTCACTTGACCTATGGTCATGGTTCCCTAATAGGAATCATCGTAAAGATCCTTACCAGGTGGATAGGCATCCCTGTTAACCCCAGGAAAAGGGAGCCGGTCTTTTGACCATGGCACACATGGGTGTGCCATTCTTCAATAATTTGAACCTGCCAAAATGGTTAATTTCCTGTTCCCCTTTAAGACACCACCAAAACCAGTTACACCCACATCTCTCCGCACTGAAATGAGCAGCCCCCAACAGCCCTGCCCAATGGAGTAAGCGGTCCGACGATTCTTGTCCCTGGGGACAGTAAGACCTCTGTAGAGCTTTACAGCCATCTTAGTGGAGCCAACAGTCAATGAGCGCTGCTCAAATGAGGGCGGCGGATCTAAAGCATATCTTGTTTGGTTTCCATCCGGGCAAGCACTTCATGCCACTACTGGACTGGAGGTTTAACGTGGGTTTATATTCCAACCGACTGCGCGAGGGATCCGGGCTGCAATTTGTCAGCTCCGGCCGGCCGCGAATGGCTGACGATGGATATTCCAGACATGGCGTGTTTCGGAAACTGGCGGCTGTATCTGCAACTAGAAACACCATTCAAACGCTTGCCGGACATAAACGATTATGCACATGAGGTCCAACAAAACGTCCAAGGAGTCCAACGATTAAACACCACGAACAAACTGGTCGGCTTCCTTTGGGTAGTTCTTCAAACCCCACTAACAAGTAGGAGCCATGTCAACAAAGGCGGTTTCCCAAAACGCTGCCTCAAAGAGGTGGCACAAAAAAAGGTTGGGTCAAGAGAGAAACTGTTTCCCCAAATAAATCCGTAGGTCACAGCACCTGAGGTGCCGTACGTGGCAGGGGAGAGCCGAAAGGTGGAGGAGCTCCTGGCAGACGACAGGCGGGGCTTGGCTGAGGGGCGAAAGGAGGGGCACCCAAACCTCCGGCGGGTTGCAGATCAGTCCGGGTGTTGGGAATAAACCGGAAGATTCCCTCGAAGGAAACCATAGGGGATGGGAATGGGTTTTCTACTGGTCATTCCATGTCTCATTCCCTGCTGAGAACCGGCAAGCTAGACCGGTTTTTGCCACGGGACAAAAACGAGGAAACTAGGACACAAGTTCGTACACGTTTGTGGGGGCAGATTTAAGCCGGACTTCAGCCACAATCATGCGTGCAATTATTTGGCCCCTTATATTACCCCTTCATTTTGCTTGGGGCAGGAAATTTGGATGTAACTTCTCCACTCTTCACAAACACGCCCTTTTTCCAGAAGCCGGACGCCCCAAACCCAGGGGAGATGTCTGCTGCATTCAAAGAAGCCAGTTATGCCGAGCTCACCCGAGGGTAGGACGAGCTTACCTATTCTGAAGTTCCTTGAGGATGCCTTACCTCCAATATGTGCATGAAAGCAATATAAGGGCCAGAATAATTCCTATTCCCAGCCACCCAGTGCTCTTTCTTTTCTGCATAATGAAGTACCCCACTGCCCCCATGGAATGATTCACCCCCTGGCACCTCAAGGAACCCACACTTTTACCCCCTTCGAGCACCTTTGTTGGACTTTGGCCCCAAAAACCCCCAGCCGCAAGCTGCAAGGACCTGCGCGAACCCCCACCTGGGTCTGGGTCAAAAATTATTATTTCACCACCAGAAAGCCACAGGTCTTGGCCCATGTCTCCACTCGTCACTGCAAGCCATGTGGGGCCACCTGACCTCTCCGCCGCTTGGGTTGCTTGGATCCTCAGGTTCCTGGACTCGCTGGCGGGGAAGCTCGCGAACCGCCTCGGCGGCCTCGGCCAGGCGCGCTTTCAACGCGAACGCGGCCGGAGGGAGCCGAGGGAAATGACTCACTTCCTGAGCTTATGAACTTTAAACTTTTTGGGAAGACCATTTTGGTGGTAAATATAAAGTTTAGACTTTTTTGGGGGCCATCCACTCAGCCAGTGAGACGAGGCCTCAAAGGAGCAGTTTGGTTTGGGAGAGAGAGAGGGATTCCACTTGCAGCCTGGTTCTGTGGCTGAAAGCAGACCTTTGGACCTTTTGGTGTTTCTTTCTTTTGGTACTGTAGGTTCTTTTGGGCAAGTGAGGTCTGGTTTGAATGATTTTCTCGTGTCAACCAAGTCTCCGAAGGACGCCCGGGGCTGGGATGTCGGCGAACTTGCGGGCTGTGGCTGTACGGGACCGGTTTTTGTTGTGGCTCTGGCTGTATGGGACCGATTTAGGGCTCTGGGAACAAGGAAACGTATTTTTCCCCCAGTGATACCAGGCAACCCTTTAAGCGACGAACTCGTCATCGCTAAGGGAGCTCTCTTGTGGCACGTGTGGCACGTGTATCACCAAAGGGGCACTGCCCAGAGCTTGAAGGCACTCCAAACAGGGGGCCTGGTGTGGGGTTAGACCCTTCCTGGACATAGACCTCCCTGCTTCAGCCAGCACAGCGGCTGGCAGAAACAAGGGATGCACCTCAGCACGAAAGACTCAATTGAGTCTGAATTTAGAACTGCTTAGAATAAACGGCTGCGAATTGGATGGCTCCAGAACTTCTTGGGTTTTCTTACGTATGGGCTGTCTTGAACACTAGTCAAAGGGCCCTCCATTGTTGCACGTTTCAGCAGCCTTACCAATGCGTTTGAGGCTTTGGATAGGTAAAAGCATGTTTATTTGCTTGTTTGCGCTTTTGTTGTTTTGTTTGATTGTTTGTTTGTTTTTTGTTTTGTTTTTTTTGCGTTGTTGCTTGCTTGCTTGCCTGCTTGTTTGCTTGCTTGCTTGCTTGCTTGCTTGCTTGCTTGCTTGCTTGCTTGCTTGCTTGTTTGCATGTTTTGTTTGTTTGTTTGTTTGCTTGTTTGTTTGTTTGTTTGTTTGTTTGTTTGTTCGTTTGCTCCTTTGTTCGTTTGCTTGCTTGTTTGGTTCAGCGCCATGCCCACACACCTGGGCGAAAACAGATGCCGCCACACTTCGGTTGATGGCAACATGAAGCACGAAGCGCCATTGCGCAGGCGCCGGAGTCACCCAGGATCAACCTAGATGGCGTCAGAGAAACCGCAAGGCACCCTACTGTTGCGTGTATTTGTGTTTGTGGTGGGAACACTTCAACAAAGGCTGCTTCGACCAAAAAACAACTACATAAACTAATCTGAAAGAACATGCACTCTAATATATTTTGAGGGTTCCCTTTTCTTGGGGAGGGCTGTTTCAAAGATAGGCCAGGAGCACCCACCAATTCGACGAGATGGCCCTTCGACGGGAGCGCCCCCGTGCGCGCGAGCGCGCGCCATCGCAGGGCGGCAGCACCTTGCGGCCGGCCAGTACCATGGGCCGGGCTCCCAGGTTTGTGGTCAGCACGCCGAGCACGCCGACCCCTTTTTCTTTGCCCGTCCCCACCCCAAAAGAAAAGATGTATTACTATTACGTACCATGATTAGTTTTCGTTATTAATTTTTAGAACAACAACTTCAAGTTACCCCACAAAGTGAAGGATACCACAAAAGAATTCGAGATCTGCGTCAGTTTTACTTGGACACTTTCCGCCAAGGCCTTGCGATATTGGCACTTGTACAACACGCTTAATGATGAGTTGAACCTGATTCAATTTTGGGGCCGAGCTCAAGGTTCCCCATTTGGTGTTTGGGTAAATGGCTTGATGCTTTGAAGGCATGTTGAGCAGTCAGCTTCGCCTAGCTTTGTGGCTTCTCATAGTCCGTCCGATTGCTTAAGACATGTCCACGGGTAAAGAGAGCAGCCAACCTGGCACAGGAGGACTTGGGGAAGGCATTCTTTTCATTTGGGAGGGTCACACAGCGAGGCTGGGTGCAGACACTGTGACCCCACAAATGCAAATCATATTGCGCGGTGATTCTTTCCGCAAGCAAGTCATGGAGGTGCCTGCCCTCGTGGCAGCTCGCGACGGAACATAAGTCTACGTTGACAGGCCACCGGCTCGGCTGGGGCTAAGTTGTGATTTACCCAGATGCATTGGGCGGGGTGGGGGGGAGGGATCCTTGTTGAGCTGGCCATGTCCAGCCAAGATACCTTTCAGGAACCTGGGTTGATGTTTCCTGGGGATACATGTTCATGTGTGTTGTAGCAATGCATATTGCGGGAGCAATGCTGCAATAATATATATATATAATATATATATATATATATATAAATATTAATATATGTATTCATGCATTAAATATACACGCATATACAACACATACATGCACATATACATATACATACATATATATATATATATGTTGAGATATGGTCAAAGTATATGACATACACACGCTCAGTCTCTCTCAATGTATATATATATATATGTTTATACGGAGAGGAGCCCTACTCCCCACCCTCGCAGCTCTCGCCCGCTCTCGCCCGCTCTTGCCCGCTCTCGCTAGGAGGCCAGACCTTGAAGCGGCCGGAGCCGCCCCAGTTCACGGAGCCGGTAGACGGCACCAAGGCGCACGACAATGAACTCGCGGGTTTCGAGTTCGCGGTGTCGGAGCTCCCAGTCCCATTTGTTTGAGAAACTCTCATGTATTTAGGGTAGACTGAATATGGAAGAGAGTCAGAAAGGTGGTGTTTTTGAGCTCAGGGGTTGGAGGGTTCGTGGGGGTCAGTTTGGGTGCTCTAGGGACTTCCAGCTCTACTTCTGGTTACCCCCGGCTCGGACAGTGTTATTGGACTTGTTGGAGGGGTTCCAGTTCCAAATCCAGGAAAAGGTGCCGTTTTCTTGGCAGCTGGAGGTTAAACAAGTCACACCCAGGAATAATGTTGTGATGTGGATTGTGGTTTGGGGATTTGGCCCCCTAATTTCTTGTCAAACCACAGCCAAGAGATTGGTGCGGGTCGGCACTGTTAGGTCATGTTAAAGGAACTTTAAAAGGGGTGCGGTGTCATTTCATTAGTTGGGGCATAACCCCCATTGAATAAAATATTCAGCAGGAGCAACATCACATTTTCTGTGAAGGCCAGGGACTTTTCTTTTTTCTGGCCCCGGGTTTTGGGGAACCCGAAGGCTTGTTTGCTTGTTGAAGGTACTTTTTTGGGGGTTGAGTTGAAGGGGCACCCACGGGCACGCTTTCCTTGAGGGGTTTGCCTTTCAGGGGTCCGTCTCCAGATCGGGATCCCTAAAGGAACGTTGCTTTTCCTTTGGTTTCCTTTTGACACAACCCCCAGCAAAGGTAATTGCAGTCCAAACAAGACACATCACGGTGGCTTCTGTTCGCTTGACTTCAAGAACGGGAGCTTGGCAAACTTCATTTGCCTTCCGCTTCCATTTCGTGATGTCGGTTTTTGGGTTTCCGTGTGCAGATCCACAGGTTGTTTTAGCATAACCAGCCCCCGGGGCATTATTCTCAGGTTTGTTATCTCCTTCTGGGGCACCGACTTTTTGAGCCCCCCTTTTCTGTACTATACCTTCCCCCTCTTTGAGGGATCCTTCTTTATAGAAAACCTCCGGAAGCCCAGGAAGAACGGCCGGTTCTCGGAAAGAAGGATGGCTGAGAAGAATGAAAAATAAATCAACCCCTAGACCTTTCCCTTTTTGCAGGGGAAATCCGTTGGTTTCCGGATTGCTTTTCGCCACAGTGACCTTCCGGGCACAGCGGAAATTCACTTCCCCCGCTGCAAGCCGCGCAGGCGGCTCTGCCACGGGCCTTGCAAGCCGGGGGCGGCATGGCAGGCGGGGACGGCACGGGCTGGGTGCCGAATTGACTGGGAGATGTCTGGGCTTGGCTCAAAAATGGGGGTCCAAGATGAAACTCTGGTAAATGGACAGGTAGACTAAAACCCGCGTAACCCCAGTTGCTTAATTTTGAGCCACACCCATCTTTTCTCTTGGATGTCCTTCATTGTCCTTTGAAATCAACAATGATTTTGTTTCCCTGCATTTTGGACACCTTCTTTGGTTGCTTGTTGGGAGGTTGTCAAAAGGAAACTAATAGGAGTCCCCCATTTTTAGAAGATACCCATGTGTACGAAGTTGACAGTCGCAAATGTCGGGCAAAGACAACCAAGGGGGAGATGTGCGCGTTGGGGATCTGGGCTTTCTGGTGCGTGTGGTCCAAACTTTGCTTGCACAGAGAAGTTAGATAGAGATTCCCACCAACGCGAGATGATCAAGCCAGCTAAAGCAACCTTGTGACATGTTTGGCCAGGTGTTGGTTCGTTCTTTTGAGGTGGTGATTCGTTTGAATGACGGATGCCTCTGTAGCCTGCGTCATCAAATGACGAAACACATGCAGCTGAAACTATAACTCTACCAAGTGGCTTGGGAAGTTGGTGTTGGGTTTAATCATCCTTCATCCATTTCTGATGCAGGCGAGGGATTCGTTTGGAAGCCCTACTCTCAGATGAATCCTGGGGATCACTTCAAAACCAGGTTGTTGGGCTTCTGCTGAATGGTCCTGAAAGCCAAGGCGAACCAAGTGATGCCTCTTGTTGGCTTTGCAAGGAGTTGCACACACACAAACAAACACACACTTCCGGCTAGATACTGGATTCAAGGGCATGCAGCCTGCGGAACTGGGGTGTGGGCGTTCGCCCCTGGGCCTTGCTTGACTGCATTGAGTTTAAGCCAGAAACCAAAGGGGATCTGAAAAGTCTCGGGTTTTTCATCAGGGGGTTCCAGCAAGGTTTTTGGAGTTCGCGCACCAGAAGAATTCTTCCAAGGTTGGTCCTGTGAGTCGAGGCGCTCAGTACGGGTCCCTTTGTCCAAGGGGAACTGACACAAGAGGTTGGCAAGACAAAACCCCCGAGAATTCCACCCTTTACTTGCTGGTGCGATAGGCGGGGAATGAGAAATGGAATGACCCCCCAACAAACCATCCCTTGCTTGTTTCTTATATATTCAGGGACCAAAGCCTGGGTTCATTTCCACCTACTCCTTGTGGTGTCCTTTCTTCGGGGACCAAAGCCTGGGTTCATTCCCTACCGATTTCGGAACGATCGCCCACGATCCGCCAGTCGACAAGACGGCCAAGGGCGCCCAGCGCGCGGATGGCGAGGCCGGCGGACCGCTCACCGGCTGGGTACCATGGGCTATGTGGCTGCAAGTCAATTTATATAGCATGGTAGATGGGACTAGGCTGTGAAACCCCACCATATTTTTGACCCATACCCATGTATTGAAGTGGAATAGGGTTGCAACTCCCCCAAGAAAGTAGGAGAGTCGATTCAAAACGAAGGATTCTTATTGTACACTTGGCGGCTGTTGTGCGGCGTGAGCAGATAAGAGAAACAAAAAAGAGAAGGACAACGAAGCGTGAACAGAGCCTTTGTTCGCCAAATGAGGTTTGGCGAATAGTAGCTTTTGTTAGTTTACGCGATAGATGAGAAGTAAGCGGAAGACTTTGGGAAGACTACCGGAAGACTATGGCAAGACTTCGGGAAGATTTCGGGAAGACTGCAAGAAAACTACCGGAAGGCTACGGCAAGACTAGGGGAAGGACCTACACGATTACGTGTTTGGCCAAGGCGAGCCTGTAAAACGAAGGATAGGCACATAAGAATTTTGGCGGCGGCTCATTTGCGCTACCCTCGCTCCAATTTTGTCAGGGAACCACAAGGGGCCAAATAATTGCATGCATTATTCCCTTGTGACTTGACAGGTATCCTGTGCCCAGTCCCAAAACGAAAGCAGTACACAGTTGAGCCAGCAGCCAGCGCCCGTAACCGACCAATTAAAATTCATAGATGAGCCGCAGGCCGATAGGCAAATTCCAGCCCTCACAAGTTTGCAAGTAGGAGATATTTCAAGAAGGCAAATACTTGAGCTCCTGGAAGATTTTTGCTGGCAATTGAGTTGCTTTCTAGCAGCTTATACGAGGTGATTAGAGAAGCAAAAGCGCCGGCGCCCGTTGAAGCACAACGAGCAAATATCCTTGGGGAGCTAGCCTTTGTATCTGTCAAATGCATGAGGCTGGATGAGAAAGCCGGCTCGCTGCGACAGAGCAGCAATACAGCTGGTCGCGCTCGCTGGAGACACCATCGGTGAACCAACGAACGTGTCGTCCGCCTTGTGCCGTGAAGGATCCCAACCAGTGGCACGAGGCCAAGCTGCTAGTTGGATTTGGTAAGCCCTTCCGGAGGTAGACCACCCAGTCCAACTCGCTCAGGAGAAGTCAACTAAATGAACCCGCGGTTGATTAGATGAGGAATCGGTGCCTCCTGGGATTCTGGGCCAGGGTGTGCACCATGTCATACCCCGTGATTATCGAAGAGGAATCCTTGCCGGAAAGAGGGTAACATCGATCTGCACTATAGCGTCAAGCTAAATCAGGGACCCTTCCAAAGTTTGGTTTTGTACTTGCTTTCCTTTCGATCACATGTGTCACATGCCCCTTCAACAAGTGCTGATGCGTTTCCCATTAATGAAATTCAACTCGATTGGAGCCCCATCCATGGCTTAGCTTGCAGCTCCCATGTTTTCAGCGGAGCCCGACAAGTCCCCTTTTTGGCTTGGGTTTGGGACCCACTAGAGATGGGTACGGGTCAAAATTAAACCACCGGTCCCCTGGGTTTGAGTCCTTGGTTCCATTTACCAGGGTTCCATTTTGGGTATCCATTTTGACCCACAGCCAGATGGTTAGCCCCCAAAAGGGTTCTAATTCTTTTGCTACCAGGGTCACTGTGCAACGTGAAGTTTTTCGTATGCCGCGAGGTTTTGTGGCGGATCCTTTCAACCTGTGCGTGTGGTCCACCTCTCAGTTCCACAGCAATGTTAACCCCGGATTAGGAGCGGATTCACCCTTTATGGCTTTCGGCTTCGGCGCTTGCCCCAGCAAGCGAGAGGTGGTTGAGTCCTTCGAATGCTAGGCGTTCGGACGTATGAAAACTGCGCGCAGGTCCACATGACGAATATGGATGTGAATGCCTTCACACAGGCCAGGAATTGGACCGGGTCAACGCGGGCCTTGTATCTTTGGCCCTATAAATTTACTTGCTGGCGCTCAGTCGGGAATGAGGGAATGAACCTGGGGGTTTTGTTGAAGGGATGGTTTGTAGGGGTCATTCCCTCATTCCCTGATCACTCGCAAGTTTACCCTCCCACGTTGCCATGGCACCTCACAGGGATCTGGCCCCTCCAAGAGGACAGCGATCTTCAGTGATCTTCGCCCACTGGAAGGAACCTCTCAGAGCCTCACCGCACACACACACACACACACACACCTCACTCCATAGGTGTCCTGCTTTCGGTTTGTTGAACGTAGATGGACTCCCCTAGTTTGAGCTTGAATCATGTACCAATGCCATCTAGTTTCAGCAAAAGGCCAGCCAGGCAACCACCTGGTCGGACAGAATTGCTCCATTGAGCATCTGTTTCTGGTCCAAGTGTTTGCTTGGTGGCTGTGACCTCAAAGCAAATGGTGGGCTTTGAACCAAACTCGCCTCTATTGCTTTAGACGAAATCGTCCATTTCGACTCATCGAACATGCCCGCTTTCGACATGTTTGGACTTTTGGTTGCGCCATCCCTATACCAGGTTTGCATATGGGGATTGATCAGTATTCCTGAGCCCCAAGTGACCATGGTTAAGTTTTCCTTGTTTAGATGGAAAGTCCCCTAATGGTCATTTCATTTCTCATACATATATTTACAACCGGCTAAGCTTACGGCGACTTCTGTGCCTTCCCTTTGCAACATCCTTGCAGAAGCCAAGTCTGGCTAAGTTTTTGTTCCAGTCTGAGTTCTCCACCCTGGACTTCAAGCCTTTGATCGTTGCTTTATCCTGGACCTTGAGTGGACCTCTTTTTTCTGCCCAAAGGCCCCACAGTTTAATTAGAGGCCGACAGAGGAATCGGTGCATGGCAAATTGGGTTTGTCTCAAACTGGGGGAACCCCACAATGGTGGGTTTCCTTTTGGTTTCCCTCTACCAGCCAAACGGGTGGGTGTTCCCAAGCTTATCGGGCTAGCAACCTTTTTCTCTGGCTGCTTGGTACTCAAAGGGGGCTATCGGTTCAACACAAATCCAACAGGCTCCCCCTGGTGCATGGTGCACCATTCCAAAATGAATCTACCGGGATATTTACCGGCTTGATTTCCGACTCAAACCCCCTCAGTACTTCTTCTTCTCGAAGCCCTTCGCCTTGTAGTACTCGGCGCGCATCTTCTCGGTTCCCCATCCCTTGCCCTTGTTGGTGTGCTGGAACTCGTTCCAGCTATTGCTGCATGCCTTCACCCTCGACGTCGAGCTCGAGGATGCCGAGGATGCCGCCGTTTCATTCCAGTGGTGCTCCTGCTCAAACCCCCCTCCATCGTACTTCCGCACCACCCATGTTCGGCCCCACTGATCATGAAGCTCCTGAATCCCACGGTCCACCTTCACCAAGTCCCGGGGCTTCTCCTTCACCTTAACGACCTCCAGAGGCTGCACGCCTCTCAGCCTTCTCACACAGCCCACCGCAACACCCGCGGTTTGCTTCGCCACCCACACTGCTCCAATCGCCATCAGGATGACTCCCACAACGAACAGCACATCCAACTCGTCCACAGGCATGATGCCCTTCATGGCGGTCGCCTTTCCAACCAAATCTGCCCCGATCACCGCCAACAACCTCACCTTCATACCGAAGCCGTCCGCAGTGACCGCCTGATCCTCCTTGGCCAAAATGGCCTTCCTCATCATCTTCTTTACCACCGGCATGCCCAGGTCTTCCCTGAATCGCTCGAAGGCCTGACCATTAAGCGATTTCGTCATGCCGTCTGCCACCAGCTGCTTTCCCGACAGGTGCGTGAGCGACCAGCCACCATCTTCCAGGGCCCACCGTAACGACGCCGCCCTGATCCGCAAGTGCCTCGTCCTCCAGCTCCCTGACCCGTTTGATGCCAAGGCTATCGCCGCCACGTTGTCCCCATAGATCCTCTTCTGGGTGAGTTGCTCACCCAGGATCACCTCCAACAAAGCAGCTGTCGCCCTTCCAGCCACCAACGACTCGCAGTATCCAATCAGCTCCGCTTCCGCCGTGGATTGCGCCACAAACGGCTGCTTGGTCGCCTCCCATGCAATCGGCGAGCCCGCGAAGTAGACCAAGATGCCCTGCACGCTCTTGTGGTCTCCTGCTGTGCCATAGCTGATGTCCGAGAACACCTCCAGCAACTTATCGTGCCGCTTCACGCTCAGGTGATCCCGAGCGCCCCATCCAGTAGCCTTCGCGTACTTGAGGCCCACGTCGGTCGTGGCGTTCACATACTTCAGCAACGCCATGCCCACATCCACCACCTGCTTCGGGCTCTTCATGTTACGGGCCATTGTTGCGACTCCCGCCATCAAGTCTGGCCTCGTCTTCGTCGCCAACCAAAGCAACCCACCCGTAATTGCCTGTGCCCGTCGAAGCATCGCGGGGTCCAACTCTTCTTCCTCCTCCGGAGCCTTGTACATCGGCACCTCCATCTTCTCCCGAACGCCCCATTTCTCCACCAACTCCTTTGCGTAGGCGCTCTGCCTCAAGTCAAAGCCCTCCTCCGACTTCCACATCTCGAAACCACAATACCTCAACGGCTCCTCCTCCGATGGCCATTCGATATCTGACAGCGGCCACTCCTGTTCAATTCTCTTTACCGCCGCCTTGATAACCTCCTGCTTGGCCGCTATCAGCACGTCGTCCACGTAGATCGACATGAAGCCCATGTGCCTTTCGGTGAGGTCGACCCCTTCCACGTGGCATCCAATGATCTTCCACAGGTTCGGCTCCTCCGTGACCTCAAACTTCATGTCCCACTCCACGTCCTCCTCATCCTTCCACTTCCACATCATCTTCTTGAACATGCCATCGCGATGCACCCCCCAGTCCTTTGGGCTTGTGGTCAACCCATAGACCGCCTTGTCTATGATCCACACTTCCTCCTTGTTGGCCAACCCACATTCCCGGAAGATCGCCGGCACCTCCATCACCACCGTCTTGGAATCATCTCTTCTCGGAGCGTGAAGAAATGCCGTACGAATGTCGGTCCCCGCCAGGAACCACCCTCTCATTGCTGCCATCTTCGCCAAACTCCTGATCTGAGTGGCATCCGCCCCGGACGCATATGTGTCCTCCTGTGCGGTGCTGCTTGCGAAGTTGCCGCACACCACGCCCCGAACTTTCCTCCTTCCATCGGGCGCCTTCCTCGTGCACACAGCCTTTGACGGCAGGAACTCCACCATTCCCGGCAGCTCGTTGACCTCCTTCCTAGACACCGGTCTCACCGCCTTCAGCTCCTCGGTCATAGCGATGTACTCCTTCTTGGCCGGCTCAATCCAGTGCTGGAGCTCCGTCCTCACTTCTTGCATTCCTACCGTTTTCGTGACCCACCACTCCTCCTCCAGGCGGTCTGCGTCCTCTATTTTCATCTGTCTGAGCTTCATCTCCAGCTCGTTTTTCTCTTGAACTCCTTCGCGAACCACCGGGAGCCACCACTCTTGCCCTTCTCCTACTCCATCCAGCAGTTCCATTTCTTCAGCTACCCAAATAGCAATGTTGCTGTGGTGCTCCAACATCTTCTCCTCCACATCCTCCCCCTCGACGCGCATCGTCGACAGCTTCTGTTTCCCATTCTGCCGCCGCCTCTTTGGCGCCAAAAGGTCCACCTCCGGTCTCACCTCCAAGTTCACCGCCCCTTGCTCTCTGTTCAGCTTCCTCTACCTCCATGTTGATCTCCTCGGGCTCCGGAATTGCATCCGTGGTCGAGAAGAACCTCCCATCTTCGCAGCTCCTCACCCAATATCCACCCGAGGTGAGCGACATCGCGGCATCCGGGCCTATCACCGTGACCCTCTCTCTGTCCCACCTCCAATCCTGGTAGCGGTCCGTCCATGCCTTCTTCTTCACGTAGGCAACGGACGCGAACGGCAGCAGTTGCTTCGCAGGGTATCCCTGGCCTTCCACGACCTCGCTAAACCAGGTCTTTACTAGCGACCTCAAAAAACCGTGAAAGGCCATGTTTTACTCACTGATTGTATACAATGGCAAGCAATCATGTGGGTGCCGTCTCTTTTAAGATATCGGCTCTGAAATCAAGGCACAACACCATTTCCGGAGGTACGGGGCTTGTCAGCCCAAGTGGTAGAAGCCTAACAATCATCTATGTCTGGATCAGTTCAACAATTTCAACCTTGTACTCGTAAGCAAGATGGGGCCGGCTGAGAGTCTTGGACGCCAATGCATCTTGGCGGCGGCGCCATGGCCACGTGACATTTGATGGCACACATACGATGAAGAAGGCTGTTCGAAAAAGCCCCAAGGCTGCAATAAGCTGCAATAAAAGATGGCCCCCACAATTGTTTTCCATTTTTTTGCTGAGGATTCCGCAGCTCCCAAGATCCGGATGCGTGGATGTATCAGAACGACCGTCACCCTGGCACGTTTTTGTGATCGCTAGCGCCATTTTTCTGCCCTCTGTGCCGTCATTGGTGATCTCCACCGCAGCAAGAGCCTCAGATGCGCACCGGTACCCGGGGCAAAATCATGCCCACCTCGAAGCCTAGAAGCGAAAAGGTGGAACTTCTCAAGGACTGGTACCGGTGCCTTTTAATTTTCGATTACTGGCCTCCTCCTCCCGCTCCCTGAGCCGGCAGGAGTTCTATGGGACATTCTTACAACAAGCTCCTGGCTACCGTGAGCAGCGAATCGGCCAGATTGCCAAGGCTAATGGCATTGGAGCCCACCGGCTGGCCAGGGAGCTTCGGCAGGGCAAGGCGCGCAACAAACTAAAGAGGGCATCGATTTCAGCATCATGACCGCATCGACTGCGCAACGCCCTGCTTGTTGATGTTGTGTGCGCGCAAGGTGCCCGTGGCGTTTTCTTTTGTTGACCTGGCTGGGCCAACAATCATGGCTGAAGAGGCTAGGCGTGTCTAGCGCATGTTTGCACGCGCGTTTGTTTGTTGAACTTATTTATAGAAAG